TCTCTCTCTCTCTCTCTCTCTCTCTCTATAAAATAAAATGTCTCTTCTCAAAAGCCACACTTAAAATAAGCAAATGTTTTTCATTATTCATTGCATTATACTATAAAGACAAATGCTATCTGCAAAAATATGATGCAAATCATTTTGTCAATCTTCACTAATTTGATGCTTTTGTGGTCCAAATACATTTAGCTGAATTTTGAACCACATTGTATAATTTATATAGGCTAATCTTTTGGGGGAAGTAAGTAAATAAATTATTGATTTATTTTTGTGCCCACTATAACTATTACTATACTGAACAGCTACTTTTTGAATTATTTATTTACGTGTCCACTATATAAGCCTTCCTACTGAACAGTTACTTTTTGTGGATACAGTACTGGTAACACCAAGACCATGATACTCTACCAACTGAACCTGCTAACTTGATCGACTATCTTCTCAATGCAACTCTCAGTATATTTACCCAAGATGTCATGCGCAAGGTCTTTAATTAAATGTCCCACAATGGCATAAGCGACAGCGACCACCACCACCGCGGCCATCATCAGGTAGAGCAAGGCTCTGGGAAACTGGATGAGATCTCTGGCTGGAGGTCTGTAGTCCTTAAACAGCGGAGACTCATAGACGGCGTACTGATACGTGTGCTGGTTCCCAGAGACGGACACGTTCAGACTGTTCATATTCATGGGGTTCATTCTTCACCACTGCCTGTACTGTAATTTCACACAAAAAAACTAACGTCCTGTATTCCACTTCCAAAATGTGTTTTGCTTGTCCTCCAGGTAGTTTATCCCAAGTAACCAGTGACTATTTGTCGAGTCGGCGAGTAGACTCGGTGCATAATGTCATCTGAAAAAGAAAAAAATCAAAGCAAACCATTGAACTCATTCAAGGACGAGATTTTAAAAGCAGCCATGTTTCAGTTCAGCTGGGCAGATGGCCTGTGCTGTAAGTGATGAGGTTTGAAGATCTCACTATAGGCCGCTCATGATCTTTTCTCGGACAGTGACGCATCATGGCCTAAATCTCATCAAGGCGCGCGCACGGATCATTCAAGGTCAACCAGAAACTGCTCTAGAATAGATAGATGAGGCAGACGGGTACATAGAAGAATAGACCCATGTTTTATGCATTTCTAACTATTCACTCATTTTTACTTTTCTAATATTCTGGTAAATATTTTTCTAATTATCTGTTAAATACCAGTATTATTTTTTTTGTATATTATTATAGCTTTTTTTCATTCTTTTGTTTTCTGTTTTAATTTTGAGTTATAGTCATTTTGTTTTTATTATTATTATTATTTTGTATGTCTATGTAGTTTTTGTAATTATTATTTTTTCAGTATTTTAGTATAACTTAAACTGAAAACATAGATATGTTGCCTTGGCAACTACCTGACATTTTTTAAATATTTTATTTCAGTTCAAATATTTCAAGAGACAAAGGTTTTTTATGGTTTTAGTTTTCATTTTATTTAAAGGGGTCATATGATGCGATTTCAAGTTTTCCT